TTATTTAAAAAAAAGAATTTTGACCATGATTAATGACGCGGAATAAAAAAAGGAAAAAGAAAAGAGTAACCATACGAGGTAAAAATTTGCTTCCACGTGTTCTCGCCCATTTCTTTCTACTCCATTTTCTAGTTTTCGCTTAGTTCCTTTCTTCCTTCCTAAAACCCAATTCTCTACTTTCAGTTGCTTATCTCTGAAGTAATTGATGTACCAAAATTGAAACGAACCCTTCCCATTACCCTCGGATATTTAAAATTGAAAGAGAAAACGCATATTGTAGATATAATAGAAAATAGATGTATGAGAAGTACATATTGAATCCAAGCGATGTAATTTTGAATAGCTACACAATAAATTTCATCGTACCAGTGAAAATACTAAGGCGAATAAAGTGCCCGGGGGTTAAACACCCCTTCTTTCATACTCTGTAAATTCTATTCTCGAGAAAACTATGTTAAAAGGTAGAAACGAGTGTAAGAGAAAGGAAGGTGAGGCACGATGGCAGGGAAGTGTCGATGGTGCGAGAGACTGGTAGAAAAGGTTGAGTGTGTATCCTAATGGGATAGCGACAGCAGTGGTGCTAAGAACGAGAAAGGTACATCGAATAGATTCTCGAATAATTGAATGCCAGTCAAATTTGCGTAACTAAATCGTTACACAGTGTGGAAGATCGCGAGACACTAGCAATTATCCTCACTAATCTCTTTGATATTTCAATCTAAGTAGAGAATGTTTTGACTCATATTATATATAAAATCTTTAATATCTCGTTTTTGATGTATGAAATGATTTAAATTAGTAAATAGACGAGCAATAACAGCATAAGCATCATATAGATAAATTGGAGTAAAAACACGTTGACTACCGATTGTCATGAATTTTGACAGAAATACTCTAAATAGTGTCAAATGAATGAATTTTTATCGACAAAGAAGTTTAATACCAAACATGTTCGAATGAAGTTAGGGGCGCATGACTTCCACGCGAAGCGACTTCTACCACATTTTCCTCTTCCTACCTGGGGGTGCACACGAATTTCCACGCGTAATGACTTATTGTAGAGAAACATTTAATGTCAAATATGTTTCAATAAAGTATATAACTTTATTCAAACATTTTTGGTATTAAATTTCTTTGTCGGTGAAAATCCATTTAAGGATATTTATTTGACGTTATATTTAGTTAATAGTGTTTCTGTTAAAATTTATGAAAAAAAAATCATGCAGCCGATGTTTCAGTTTATCCCATGCGAAAACTTAACACTAACAATTTGTAAGCAAATTGTAAAAGCATATTTTTTCAGTAAAGTTAACATTTATAATATGTAACATTAACACACTTCAATAAAATTAATATTTATTATATGTTAACATTTTATTTATTTATATTTTATCTTAAACTATTCGTAACAAAATGCATTATTTTCTGTTCACTTATTCATGTCATTTTAACGCGAAGAAATGTTAAATATCAATACAAAATGTTCTAATAATAGAAATATATTACGTCAAATTAATGTTAAATTATTAATATAAAAATTTTAACAAGAATCGATTTGAATATAAATATAAAATATTCTTTACATTGTTACAAGAATTGTACTGCCTCTTTAACATTAAATATGATATTGCATAATAGCACATTTAGCTATTTAAAAATAATATGCATAATAATAGCAGCCAGTAATATAATATTATATAGTTATTTGTGCGATACTATAGAACAGGATCACGGAGTACCGTTAAATCTCACGATATTTCATTTCTCACACCCAGAGAAATTCTCGTTTTCTCTCGTCTTGTTTACCTACAGAAATAACGAGTTGCTTCGACGACCTTATCTTTCAATTATCGGGTCCCATCATTGATTTCCACTTTCGCGACAAAGTAAACCTAATCCCGGCGCACCCGCATGCCACGTCTTTTATAAAGAAGCACACACCTCGACACTATACGATGACGTCGTATATGACGAGAGAAAGTGGGAAACAAATTCATTCTCATATGAAATTAAATTTCGGCAAATCCTTGGACTACCGGATGCCAACTGTCCTATCCGGTGAACGTTGATCCTCTCCAGCTTTTCCGTTTCTCTCATGAATTATTTTCACAGTGGTGGATAAAATGGAAAAGAACTTACAGTTATATAAACTAAATTATTTTTATTGTTATATATTGAAATTTTCATCAAAATTAATATTATTATTTAATATTATTTTATACCTCACAAGTTACAATATTTAATAATCTTTTATTATTCATTATCTATTTTAGCAATTGTGCATATTAAAGATTTTAATTTGATTTAGTATAAATTAAGATTAGATAAGGTGCAGCATAATTCATGCTGTAACTAAAAAGAAAATGATTATTCTTTTCTTATACGGATAAAGACATCAATCAATAATAGACTGCTATGATAATCAAATTATATTCAGTCGTATGCATATTTGATGAATTTTTAAAACCAATTTTCTTGAAAAGAAGTTTTATGAAAAAAACTTTATATCATTTTTTGGTTTTACAAAGCAGAACTCTTTTTTTTATTGCAAACCATAAATTACACTCTATGTATCTGACAACAGTTAGAATAAAAATGACCAACCCATGGTACGCGAAGGTATTCTTATGTTGGTGATGCGCTTAAAAAAATATTATATATGCGTTATTAGAAAAAAATTACAAAAACCAAAATGACACAGCAAAATAGCAATCATACTCAACTAAAATCTATGTTTTACATAACTCTATTGCGTTCATTTTCATGCTGAAGGCATTAGACAGGTATTTCATTGCTGCATTTTTGTCACATGACAGAGATTTTGAATATATTGATCAGATAACTTTGTCGGAATTTTATTCGATAATCAATCAAAAGATAAAGATAGAATAATACTTTAAATGTGAAAACGAACAAAAAATGCAACCTATTAAAATTTCGATGTATTTCGATTTATTATATGATTTAAAACGAATATAAAATAAAATATAGTGTAAAAGATGTAAAAATGTGAATAGATCGCGCTGTTCGTTTTTTTGATATATTTTATAATTTTGAAGATATTTGCTAAATACAAAAAAAATGGATGTATTATTTATTCTGGAAACTTATATATATTTATGGATGGATTTCTGATGGATTATTTCAACCCCTAAACCTTGAGATATAAGCAAATATAAAAATATATGTAAGTTTAACATCTTTTTGTAGGTTTTACAACATATCTAAAGCCCAATCAACATCGGAACAATTTCGACAGTTCCTTCATTAGAAAATAGAAAACGCATTTATACTGTTTGAAGATTGGATCTTACGCAAATGCATCAAATGCATTCCTTCCATCCATGTTGGCCAGTCTCCCAATTCGCTTTGCCCGACGCTCCCATTGCCTTGGAAATTTTCGCTCTCACAATCAGTATGGCGTTCTCGATACTCAAAGCCGACCGCGGCTATTAGAGAGCCGAATCTCTCGTTTCGAAAGTATAGAAATAAAGTATCTACCTATATATACTGGTTTCTGCATTGGTGCACGGAATAAAACTGCGCTCGTAACGGCAGCAATTCGCCGAATGACGATCACCGATGTTTAATAGAAGTATTTCGCAGAGCGTTTGAAACTTGAACGATAATCGAACCCGATTTCGATTCTGCAGCCAAATCGAACGGTCAATTGGACCGAAATAGAGACCGTCGCGTCACGCGCACTGAATTTAGCGTACAATTTTTTTTCTTCGATGCCTAGATTTTATCAAACGACATCGTTACGTGAAATCATATATAAAAGAAAGATATGAATGCATAATAACGAATGGATAATTCATGCAATTCGAGACTATAGTAACCAAGAGAAGCACGCGAAACGAGTTTTGCTGAAGTATTTAAAATTTAAACGTTTAGCTAGATACACTTTAGCTAAAAACATTTGACTAAATAGAGGCATTTAGTTGTAGAGCAAACGGCAATCATGAATCGCGCTCTGCAATGTACTGGACTTTCCTATTTCTTCGTTTTCCACTTTCCGCGTCGTCGAACAGATGCACGTCTTCAGATCTGTTAACTCCAGAAATTTAAGCGCATAGGTAATTGGGAGAAACGATTTATTCACGTCGCAGGTCCACTGCGACGAAATCTCGGATTATCTCAGCGCTACCGCCAGTTGATCGTACGAAGAAGATCCCTCGTTAGGCACACGTCCCTCTCCTTTTTACACCCGCTCGCCTCCGCATCCTCCGCGTATCTCCGTAGCGCGTCCCACTTCACTCGCGCCTTCCAGTTTGCTTCACTCTTCTCGCTCAGGATAAGGGATGAATAATGTACTCCCCGACCTCCGAGCAAACCTTCATGCAACCTGAATGACAAATCAGTTTGCCGTCCGAGCCAGGTCACGAATCGACGTCAGCTTTCGCCCCAGCTTCCAACACCATCTTCTTCTCTTCAAAGATCTAGAATTTTTGTAGAGGGCATTTCTCGCTCTCTCGCATGAATCCCGATGGCACGCCGGCATTCGTCAACGTTCTTAATGTATCCGGGATACCGCCGATACTGCGAAATTCTTTTAGCTCCAACGACAGCCGAAACGGAAAAATTTCCTATCACGTAAACAGTAAATCGATATAACAGCAACTTCTAAAACGAAGTCTTTGTAAAATTTTTGTATTCCGTTCTCTCTCTCATAAAATCAAACTTCTACCCTCCCCCCTCTCTCTCATAAAATCGAACTTCTACAGGAAGTAATTTTTTTAATTCACGCAAGGATACTCATTTTGATTTATATTAATTTCGATTTTACTTAAAATATTACATTTTTTATTGCCATTAAAAAAAGTATCATAATTCTTTTATTAACATGACAAGTTACAAAATGAACGTATTGTTAACGATTCTTTAAAGCAAGACTGTTTGTTTCTGACAATGTGTTAGGAAATAATAACGACAAGCACCGCTAAAATCTATTATATGGAAGACGTGTTTCATTAATCGAGCGTGGATTTCTGTTGCAGAAGGTTGGTTGCGACCTTCGAGTTGGTAGTAACAAGAACACAGATGCGTGTGGCGTGTGCGGAGGGAATGGATCAAGCTGCCAATCGCGGTACTCCTGGAGTTTGGAATCGATATCCGCCTGTTCCAAGTCCTGCGGTGGAGGTTGGTAATTACTGAATTAATTTAGTCATATTTCCCTATGCAAACAATTACACGAACAAAGTAGCTCAATGTTATGAGAAAATTTATTGATCGTCAAAGCATTATCGTCTCCTATCATTTATTTGAATCATATATTACATAAAAATACATTAAATTATAATTCTCGTAATGCTAATTTGGAGAACATAATATTTTTATACACTGAGAGAAACGTGTTTGATATTTATGATTGTAATTGGTAAAATAATTATAATTAGGAGCTTGATTTTTATATTACTGTTATTTAATCTTAGTGATATTAATTATATTCATAATTCCATCAAAAGATACGTAGTTGGCAAAAAATGACTATAAATTATAATTACACGTATAATTAAATTATAGTAACCATGCAATTATTTCTTTCTCTCAGTGTACTTTTGAAATTTTGCCTATTATATGCAGTGATTCAAACGTGTATTACGTAAATGTCTGAAAAAAAAAACTGACATGTCGTTGAGTAAGAAGATAACGAGTGAAATTCACGAGCATCGTGGCATTATTTGCATGAACGTTTACCGTTAAATTGGAGGGCTAATTTGCCGGTCACGTTTTTGCGCTAATAGGTTTCAAGATAGGGATGGCGGTGTGCAAATCGGCCGACGAGAGCGTCGTGGAGGACAGCTATTGCGATGCAAACAGCAGACCTTCGGTGAAGTCCTTAATGCCGTGCAACACGCACCCCTGCACAACAAAGTGAGTACGTTCGGACAGACTAAACTATCTACGGTAGAACTGCATGCACGTTCTACGTCAAGGGATGTCAGGCCACTCGCGTGTACAATTGAGAAGTAATAGATATTATAGGACTTTACCCCGCGAGCTGCACGTACGATTTTGCGCATCAAATAATAAAATATCCACTCCGACGATATATAAAATGTTACTTTTACCCCATCTCGCATTAACTGGCGAATAAATTGGATTTTTTTACGAGTGATATCTCAAAATTTTCAAGGAAGTGTACGCGATGAAGCGAGCGGAAAATTGGGGACTAAGTGCTCGCTACAATCGATTTTTGTGCTTACAACAATATTTCTCTTCTGTCTCGCGAAAAGGTTGCGGGACAGCAATTTAAAGCCAGTTCTAGCGATGGGAATCGTCCGACAAACGACGAAATACTCCGGCGTCGACTCGGGCAAAAACTCCCGCAAACTATTTTCTCTAGTTCCAACGGATACGCCAAGAAGTCATCGAATAGCGTTGAAAGTTTACCGTTCGGTATATAGAATCTTTTCTTTGTGTTTGAATTCATGGCTCGATGTTCACGGGGCGATTGGCGATCCTTGCCGATTGTCTTTTGTTGTTGTTTCGCGATCAAGGATTGCTTTTGGTTGAGACTAAAAGCAAAGTTCGTATCGGACTACACACTGGAGATTGAGATTATCGATTAATCATTGAAGAGGTTTAAATTATGATTGCAATTGATAGTACGTTTAATTTAAGAAATGTCGAATAAAATAACGCGTATATAGTACAAAATATAATGTAAAAAAAAGAAATATAAACGAAACCGCTGCCCTCTCATATTGTTGGGTGCAAAATTATAACATAGATGTTACATTATTTTAATAGATGTTGACTCTGAGACTGTGCAATCTTAATGCACGCACGCACGCACACAGTCTTAATCTTCAACATGTAATCTGACACGAGCTTAATGGAGAACGTTATATTCTTTTAACGTTAGTAGACTGGCGTCCCTATTTGAAATCACCCCCTTTCATTTTTCAACCAGTTTCATTTTACAAATTGCTCCCTCAATTTTTATAAAACCTAGCCTGTGGAGTAATTTGATAAGGTTTTATTTGAATCTGAGATCAAAAATGAAAAATTCAAAGTAATAGAAATAGATGACGGACAGAATTTTTTAAAAATAATTCGATTATCATGAAACTCGATTTTAGGCACTTCTTAATTACGTACAAAGTAATATCAAGTTTTTAATTTTGCTTTATTTAAAGCTCATCAATTATATAAACAGTTAATATACTTATTTCCAAAGTGATTTTCAAATTATGATTATGAACACTGTAACACTAGATCCTTTTTTATCTTTTTGAAATATTTATAGGAATTAAAATTCGAAGATACCAAAAACCTAAAACCGAGTTCACGATTTAATCAGATTTTTTTTTATTTGAATTTTAGAGTTCTCTGAAATTAACATTTAATTCAGCGATCCCGAAAATCTTTGAAAAACAAGTTCTTTACTTGTTACTTTGTTAGAAAACTCCGATCTTCTCAAAGTGTTAACATTGCAGTGATTATATTGCAAATTTTCACTCGACAAGAAATAAGTGACTAGAAATCGTACTGTAATAAGCGCCAGTCACATGTTATAAAATTGCATTTGAGAGACGTATTACCTCGTTTCGTTGAGCGGACGGTTTTCGCGATGTAATACATCTCACTCGATCTGTCTCACGTCACTCGATTAATCGATCGGCGAGAATGTAAGAAAATTGCCGGTTGGGATACGCGTACGTGCCTGCGACAGTGCCGCTAATCAGTATCGGTTCGTATAATCGTTTAACGATCAAGCGCCAGAAATGGCGATATCGCGGACTCGCGATTACGAACCGTTGATAAATTAGCAGCTGTATCGATCGCGCAGCGAATCGGTCAGTGGCTAATTGGAGCGGCCGCGAGTTTAGTTTGAATTCAGTTCGGCTGAATCGACTAAACGACTCACCTTTCCCTCCCCGGAGAGAGAAACAGGACTCCGACCGCTGCATCGTGAAAAGCCGCAACCGCACTTTGAGGTAGCAATCTGGAAGTTATGATTTAATCGCACATTACGACTTATCCCTTAGTTATTCACCACTCTGTAGCTTATGCGATCTCTACATTCGAAACCGGAAGTCATGAATGATTATCAAAATTGACTATCTAACCCAGTTTGCATTTAATCGGGCAATGGCGAGACAGATCTTGTACATACACTAGAAAAATTTATTACAGAATAATATATTATATATTACGATACTTGTAATAATAAAGAACGTAATACAATTTATGTTTATATTAAAAGACGCAGGCAAGAAAGACCGCATTGACAGAAAAAAAATTATACCATGATTCAACTATAATTTGTAGTCATTTTTGGTATCCACTATGTATAGGATAAATTTGGGGAGGGAGAGTCGACAGATATCACGTTGGACAAGATGTTAAAGAAATATGTAACAGCCGAAGTTGATTGATTATCATCAATAATATAAACTTTTTTTATTCCAAATAAAAAATATCGATAATAGTGAAATCTATAATTTTACAGTTTTTATATTATTGTTCTGTCTCTTTAACGCATATCTTTGTCTTTATTTAACATGTTGCAACGCATCTTTTGCAAAATCGTGTACAATTACTACTCTATGTATCACTCTGAATCTTTGCTCAGCATACGTATATATATTTGTAACATACGCGTATATGTATAATATATGCAATATATGTTTTTACTTTCCCGATAAGTCATTAATTTTATTTATTACCGTTCAGTTGCAACACATACAATAGAAAGGAAATTGAAAAGACTGACAGTAATTAATTTCAAATTTCAAGGATCACTTCTATCAAACGCTCTTAAATCTAATGCGCGCAGCTTTACCATCGGAAATTGAACGTATCAAAGATGACTTTGAAGATCACGTGAAAAGAATGTCGGGGATCGCAAGATCGGCAAGGTCGGTGGTAATCGATGATCGATATCCTGCACGTAAACCCAGATGCAAGGGTTTACCGTTTGACTTTGTCATTTAGCGCAATCGCGCTTGTACACGAAACATTTTTATGGCGTCGTTCATGAAAAATGCCAAGAGTGACTTTGACAGTTTCATAAAAAGTTTTTTACATCGATGGAAGACACTTTTCACCCGTGTTACTTGGTAAATGTTTAGCAAATCGGTATCTTCTCTCACCCACTCGATGCGCGATATGTACATTGGGACTGAATACCATCAAAGGTATCAATCGAGAATTTTAATAGAGAAAAACACTTTAGCATTTAGATTAAAAGTATCCAGTAATGATATCAAAAGTAAAGCCATTTCTATCATTTATCGGATTTATCGATGATAGCGCCCAAATTTTTGCAACGCCCATTTTATAATTGCGTATCTATACGTATTTTTCTCCTTCGACCGTTATTGATCAATTCTTACAACTATAACCACTTACAATCGCTTAAGTTAAATAGCGTAAGTTTTAATAATTTGTTGAGGTTAAAATAATATTAGAATTAGATTTTAAGTTGCCTTTATGTTCTTGTGTTTGTAAATTAATAAATACACTCGTAAATAAAGCTTTACAAAATGTTGCAGTTTCCTAAATCGCATAAAACTGTTACGTTTCTTAACATTTTTATTTCGTTTATTATTGTGTAAAAATATATATTGTAAAATGTGAAGTGTTTATTTTGTTTCACATAAAGATAAACTCCGTTATTTTGTTTTCGTGCGAAATGTTTATTTTGTTTTTCACATAAAAGCTCTTCTTAAATTACCTCCTGATGTTATCATGTGTTCGAGAAATTATGAAGAATATATTCTTAAGTTTTTTAACACAGCATAATATAAGATATAACTTTTAACTTTCTTATGTAATTTTTAAATTCTTTTTGTATTATTATAAAGTTTTAAATGAGGAATTTTAATAAACCTGCAAATAATTTTAATCATAGTGCGATTTTGATTGATGACTGGTTTCCTAAATCGCACTATTTTACAAGCTTGTTAAAAATCCTCATTTAAAACGTCATAACATAATGCAAAAAAAGTTATGAAAAAATTGCATAAAAAGGGAAAAGATTGTAGTTTATTATATGCTACAGAAAAACTTCAAAATAATCTTTATAATTTCTGAGTTACAAACCTTTACGTGAAAAATAGCACGATTTCGACAACCTTACTCTAAGTCGAAAGAACTTCCTACAGTAGGATAAAAGAAACACAAAATGTAAAAGTTACTTGCGGAGAAAGTGAGATTGATATAAAAACTTTTACAGAACAGTTATCTTCACTTTAGAATTAAAAACATACATCTTGAAGAAACTATAATACATACATATTCAAAAATGATTGAAATATAGAACATACTATAAATTTGATAATTTATTTGTAAATAAAGTATGAAATAATGAAGAAGTGTATTGTACTTTTTTAAAAGAAAATATTATATATTTAATTATAATAATTATAAATATATTATAACATGATTAAATAATTATAAATAATAAATTTATTTATTAAGCTCCAAGAATAAATCACAAATTAAATACTGCCAATAAATTCATGAGATCACCAAGTTTTTTATGTTAAATATTTTTGACGTTTTGAAATAAAAAGATACTACCATTTATGACGAAACAGAATTATTCTTGAGTGGAAATTTGAGAATACATATCATAAGTTATATAATATATGAATTAAATATACTCCAGCGGAAATTAAAGCATCAGTTCTCATATTTTCGAAAAATGGATAAACTTAAATAAGTATAATTTCTATAAAAATGGTCGAAATGAGACGTTCAAAAAGCATTTTGTAGCTTAAAATATCTACTTTTTAGATCTATACCTAAAATAACGATTCGGCTGATTTTTACCTTTAATTTGCTTCTTTATTAACTTCTGTACGATTTTTTTTTACTGAGTTATTCAACATTGAAGTAAAAATGATTCCTTTGAATTTGACTGCTTATAAAAACCGCGTGTACTGAGTATAACGTACAACATTCGTTAAAAAAAAAAGTTCTAAGTTTTCTTTTTAAGATGCTTTTATTATCTTTTAGACACAGATAAGCTTTTTATGTAAAAACTTAAGTGAAAGGTTGAAAACTAAAGCAATTATCTGTTTCTATTCAACTCGATCTATTCCGGTTAAAAAGAGAGAGAATTAAACCATACGATGTTAACATATAGTTTTACACGCGACATTTTTAAATTAATATTCTTCATGTTCGAAGTTACGACTTTGGACAAGACGGCATTTGCTGTACTGAGTATAATCTTGTATCGCAGCATGCAATCACCGTTGGCATTAGCATTACCCGAAGCGTACCACGTGAAGGTTGTACAGTCTAATTAACACTTTGTGCATGCGCGCGCGCATGTGAGTTTGTGTGTTTAGAATTTTTCATAAAATCTACCAGCGAAAAAGAGGACTTTCGAGTATATTTGGGACACCCTGTATAGATAACATATTATTGAATATTTATATTTTGTTTGTAATTTTATTTCAAGTGCATTTTTAATTACTGTTATTTAGCAAAATTTTCGAAGTGTCATGAAAAATTAGCATTAATTTAAAAAATCGTAATTTAAAATCTGTATGTTGAAACAGAAAACAAATATATATTATGCATATTGTGTGTATTGCAATTAAGCTACTCTTTTTATTATTGTAACTATTTTTTAACATTTAAGAGCTTACAGGTCTCTCTCTCTCTCTCTCTCTCTCTCTTTCTCTGTCATAACAAAAAATAACGGAAAGAGCACGCAAAATTTAGGCAATCTACACGCCGAGTTCTATTTCATGTTTAGCAATCCGACAATTTCGTGTTTTACGAAAATCGAACGTAAAAAATGAACGTGTTCACCGATGTAAAAGAACGAGAAGCGTATCGATGGGAACGTCCGTTGCATTTTAAACGCGTTTCAAACAGCATGTTGCCACCTTCTATCATAAACTTTACATCGCAGATGTCGATGGCACATACATTTTTTACACCAATTTTAAATAACGCACAAAGGCTGGCTGACTGATCGCACTTTTGCCATCAGACGAAGACGGAATGTTAATCGGATTTCATTAGCGCGTGCATTAGTTAACACTACGCGGCTGCGGATAACTCTACAACAAACTTAATCTCGGTTTTTTATGATACCACCTTGAGAAAACTCTTTCTTTATCTTTTCAGATGGATGAACGGGGAATGGAGTGCGTGTAGTGCAAGCTGCGGCGGCGGTTCGCGAACAAGGTCCGTCTTCTGCACCGAGGAGAACGGGAACGAGACCACGAAGGTAAATCCGGGAGAAAGGTTCTTAAATAATAAAGTTTTCGTTTTAGTCAAGTTTTCTCCTTGACTCTATGACGAGCTTGGTGGAGTTGGAGAATCACTTATCTCTTAATAACGCGAAACAAACGTTCGGTTTCGCTTCGATTTCGATATTTCATATCGTGCAAATAATCCTGCGGCTGTCGATATTATTGGCATTTGTCTTACACTTGACACATTGTTATTTACAATCTCATTCTTTATTGTTTTATACGTATTTAACGAGTACTATACATATATTACTCATCCATTTCTTCTCTAATTAAAGAACTCTTCAACAAGAGAAAGGATAGAAAGTTTTTCACGCACAAAATATATTCATGTTTGTGTGAAACATTCTAATTTGAGATATCGTAATTAAATTATTTAAATTTGCCTAATGATGCGAGAAATCAATACAATCGTGTCGACGGTTTTGAAAACCCGGTGGAGTGTGTTCGCGTCCACCTTTCAGAGAGATGTCAACGCGGCGGCGCTTTTTACGATGTAAAGACAAATAAATCTTTCCAGAATAAATCTGCCAGGCGCGACGGAATCAGCGTTACGCGTGCACACGATAAAACGCCACATTTTTCACATTTCGCCACTGACGTTAGACACGGCCGTAATTCCGCCGCGCTTCCGCGCGGACGGAACGTTAACCATTCCTCTCATCTCGGGGAAATTTTATGCCGTACTTTCGTACTTGTCTACGAGTCGCATTTACATACGCAGCCCTGTCCCGCTTTCCATGACGGTCTTGGAAGATCCCACGATCCCTAACCCAGTTCGGTTCGTTTAAACTCGAGGAGCTGCACCGCGAGTACACGCCGTCGCTCATCGTAAAACCTCCCCCGTCCGACAGCTCTCACGCACACGTATATAAGACAGTGTACATTCATATTTCACATATGCACGGTGTCTTGCGCAGCCTACAACTCTAGACATCTTTCGAGAATTTAATATTTATATACCATATTTTTACGACTGATTTTTCTTTAACGAAATACTTTTATCAATTTTTCTTTTTAAACATTGATATTAAACGTTTTGATGATTATCTTCCAAGTTAAATTTCTACCGAGACACAATTTAATTATCGTGTTTATTATTTCGTGAAGACTGCACTGAAAATAAATAACGATATTGCCATATTATTATAATTTATAGTTTTCGATGCAACTATTTTTTTTAGAAATTATGGATATAATTATTATTACTAACATTAATAATAATTATAAAAATAAAATCCTAATCAAAATTGTTTTACCATGTAGTTATGTAGTTGTAAGTATATCTTCTTTCATTGGTAATCGTCGATGTTCCGCTGTCCAAACACACGTTGACATTTGTCGTCTAATATTCATAATAAAAATGAAATTTCTCAATTTTTGAAAACTCTTTTGTTTCTATTTTAGCCCATTTATTGACAAATGAGTTTGAAATATATAAAAAGTAACTATAAAAGGAACCATTAGTTAATAATTACAAAAAATTTAACTAACCGTAAGCTCTGAGAGTTACAGTTACTGCAAAAAGTAACTTTAACTGTTATTACAAATAACAAGTTACTTCCCTATTAAATTCCAACAGCTATAGTAATGTTAAGTTGTTGTTACAGCTACCCGATCACAAGTGTAGCAGCACGCACAAGCCGCGCACTCAGGAGACCTGCAATACCGTGTCCTGTCCAATGTGGGAGACCGATAAATGGAGCGAGGTGAGAGTGCATGCACGATTCTACGCGAGAGTAAAACGCGCTGGAATACAGACGGAGACACGGCGCGGGCGCCTCGCTCGTATCATTTAAGAGCGAAAACGTTAAGCCTTCTCGCCACAATCACGGATTTAGGTGCACTCGCAGGGTCCAGTTGCAAACACACACGCGCACATACCTAACTCCGTATGTACGTGCACTGCACACATACGGTACCGCTTGCTATCTCAACTGCGAGTTTTACTGCAAAACGTACTGCCCAGATGGAAACAGGGTTAATGGTTGTGCGCGATTTGCGCGCTCCCTTTACCCTTCACGTAAATGTAACTAGGCTGTTACGCGTATGAAATAACCGATTCAAATAACTTGCACTTCTGACAAAATTGTGCTTTTAAATCTTACCTGATTAATTATTACCCAAATCAAAATCGTAAATGTGAAATTAATGTAAGACTTTTGGAAATTGATCTGTGATATTGGTTTCTTTAATTATTCTCCAATTGCAAACGACCTTTAGATTATTACAATAAGTCTCTTCTATAATCTTTAGATAGCCTGAATTAGAAAGAAATTATAATTATCGATACCTTTTAATGATGTTAGAATTTTTATAATTACATATATAATTAATATTCCATTAATAGATTTATTTCCATTTCAATCTGATACTTTATTCGCATTTTTAAAAGAGAGGTAATAATAGAATAACGTAAATAGCTTTTTAACTAACAATGACGAAATGTTTAGTACAGCACTTGCAAAGTTAGCTCAAATCTATATTACACTAACATTATCGATGTATCCGAAGATCTCACAATTAGCAGATTAAAGGTTCCTCGAATAACTTTGTGCGCGCATTACTCAAAGCACGCGTTAATTTATCTGCAAATCCAGATTACGGCGTTATTACACGTTTGGGCACAAACGCGCGCAGCAAGGAAGCCTCTAATTGTAAAACTCTGTTTCCATCCGTTCGCCCTTTTCGACAAGTTACAACGCACCGTGGCGTTTAAAGGTAAAGCAAATTAACAACTGCGCGCGATTTGCACGATGCGCGCTTGTGGCGACGGATAGGTCAACGCGAATTATACGGAAACGCGATCCTCCTCTTGCCGCAATCGCGATTTCACATTTCTCCGTTTCTCTGCGGAGAGAATGCGATTTTCTCGAAAAGCCCCACGTGTACAACCACCGTAATTGCACATGGACGATGGACTGACTACATGGATAAAGTTGCCTCCGGTGGGAACGACGCTCGCAAAGATCTTCATAAATAAACGTAACGGAGTTTTTTAAATTAATTTATACAAATACACTACATTTAATACTTTTGATTCAATTCAATATGATACACACACACATACACGAACAAGCGATCTATTTTTTTTCCTCTTAAATAAAATAACTTTGTTTAACATTTTAATAAATTTTCTTTTTAATTTATGGGCATCAAAGAAGAAATTTAATTATTTATTTCTATTTTATTTTAACAACATCAAGTCGTTTCTAAAGCTAATCGAGAAATTACAGCAGGTCAAAACATTTTTGCAATTAATTGTACATTAATTTGAATCTAATTTTTTATTTTAATTATTTGCTAAAAATCACGGAGCAACATACGAATTGAATACGAATGGAATCGAATTTAAGTATGTTATTTAAGCGTGAATTATGGATCAACTCGCAAATAATCTGGTTTGCGTTTAGTTTTGAGCAAACAACTCGTTTACGTGGCACGAAATGCGATAAATTTCTCATTCTTGATTAAGGTAATTTGTTTGTTTCTGTCACTTAAAGCATCATAGAGAGAGATGCCATCGTTAAAATATACTTTAATTCTTTACTGACACATTGAAAGTTTTCATTCACAGTGCATGGATTCCTAGTCTAAATAAATTGAAACGGAGTTCCGTAACTTTTACATTTCATGCTACTTATTTTTATTTTCTTCCACAACGTTTAATGTAAATATACATAACATTACATCATGTGTCAAAACTAATAATACACATTACATTATATTAGTAATATATTAAATAATTTCGTACATTTGTTTAAAACAAAGCAAAATAGATGTTATCATAAAATATAATTAGTTAGTGACACAATTTTTTAACCTTTAAAAAGCGCAAGGTGATTTTTTTAAAAATCTTACTGCTTTTTCTTAAATAACAATAAATCATTCAACGCCACTGCGACTCTCCGTCCTGTAATAGTTAATTTGATGCCAAATTTGTGCAATATCTTCGTAAAGACGAGATATATGTATATACTGTAAAGTATATACTGGTAAAGTACATTTTGATGCACCATAGAATATATGTTAGTGTCCGAGAAAAAACTATTAACTCAGTAGAAACGTCTTTAATATCCGTTCAAAATGCTCTCAGCGGGAGAACCGACTCAAAATCGGCAGAGAAGCGTGACTCGATACTGACTCGTATCTTTATCCTGCCCGAAGAGAAAGAGAAAGCATTTGCTTTTTTTCAAGCGCGCGGATGGTTGTAGACGAACGTGAATGAAACGGTGCTCTCATTCGCACTGCCACATCGTTCGCGCGATGAAATCCGATTTTCTCGAAGCCAAGGAATTGCGAATCGTCCGAGTGGAACATCGCCGTGCAGTCGCCGTTGACCATCGTTGCGAATGGCAACGGCGAATCCTGTTCCACCGATATGAAAGAGAATGCGGTAACGGCTCTCGCTCGCGGATACAGCGCAAAAATGGAGGCAGACTGTGAACTGCCTCGTCGTCTCCTATGTGCCGTATGTACGAATTACGGGTAAACTTGCACGCGAATAGGTCACGTCGAAATATACGCGAGGTGTATGTCTCTTGTCGTCTCTTTCTCCGCGAAATATCTTCTCTATCACTGAGCTCATCCAGCCGTACTCTTTCTCGTGAAGCTGCTCTTTGAAGATGCTCGAGGCCACATCAGACACCAACATCAAACAGGACAATTTAGTCGCCAAACAACCGCCTCTTCTCGCCCCTCCCATTTCCGACCCCCGTTCCTCCAAAATCTTCAGCTGGCCTAAGTGAGAGGCGACTGCATTGCCCTTCTTTCCATGGCAAAGCCGAAGTTAAGAGGGAAAGAAGGAACGTGTTGTACCGGCGTGAAGAGCTTTCTTAGCACGGTTTGAAGGGAAAATTGAGACACCGATAGATGGAAAATAAATATGACGGATATAAATAAATAGAAAATCACACAATTATCCTTAAAGATATTCCTCCTGAACACATAAGCGATTTCAGAATAATTTGCTGTTGTAGGTATTATACAACAAGATTTAAGGATGTCCGAAAGCATATATAATGTCTATATAAAATTAATATTAAAATAAATAATAAGGCAATATGAAAAATAACAATTTTCGAATTGTTACAACAAAGGAGTGATATAATTTACTTAATAGGGAGATAAAGCTTTCTTTCTTTCTACATTATTTGTAGAGAGATATCGTTTTCCTAAGAAAGCAACGGCGCGGCGAGACGCGAGCAATAGCATTTCTTGCAAGTTTTAAATGAGAAAAGTGCGTGACACAGTTACACGAACAACTCCTTGTTTTATACTTCAACATTGCAATACGAAGAAATAAGAAAAAAAAAAAAACAAGCAAGTTGATAAATCCTCTTTTCCGTATTATTCTTCGTCCGTATTGTTCGTCGCCCTTTAAATTCTGCGTTACGCGGATAAAATGAAATTATCATTTTCAAGAAAGACAATATAACAAGTAACGCATATTTGCTGCAATATTTCTTCGAGAATTATCTTCGAGAGCGTATAGAGCTTCAAAAAACAGACAGGGAGGAAAGCGGAGAAAGGAACTAAGAGACGAGAGAAAAAAAGGAAACACGGATGGCACATAACGTTTTGCTGAGAAAAAGCTCACGTAGCTCAACGAAGTTACTTGTGAAACATTCGCACGTACACTTACGTCCTATCGTGTACAAATAGCATACATATACACATATACCTGCGACGGACATCTCTATCTATACGATTTATACCTCTTGTCGATATGAGCGTCGCATCGCGGGAAAGTCAACACCAGTGAGCTCTACGGACGATATTTATAGTCGAATCTTATATATTTAAGACTGTCTTAAATACAGTCTTAAGATGTCATAAACCAATCCGAAAACCATATTAGCATCTTTTTTAAAACATTACTTAAGACTTTCTTAAAATAAGAACGAAAACTATGAATATCGCCCTGAAGAGCGAACCATCGAGAAGTAGGGATGTCTGAATTCCTAAACAAGAAGAACACTCTAATGCAAAGTTAATACTGTTTCTTTGTCAGAAATTTACCGATTGGCTAATACTGTTTTACTATCTAACTAAGTAGAAAAGAGTCAGAAACATCAATATTATGTTTGCCTTTCTTTTCTTCGTCAAGCCGCAGTTTTCTATAGTTCGGTATAGAGAAGATTCGCGCTCCAGTATATTATAGATATGTTCCAAAATTGACAACGCATAGATATGGTTCTTGTATTATCTTCGACTGGTCGAAAATTGAGATAGTTTCTGGATATATTCCAAAATTTCAATTTCGGCACACTCAAAATTCAATACACGTCCATCGCATGGCGTTAATAACAAAATTGCAAATGCTTTTGTTTAAGTCAGATAATTTTGAATTGTCTGTGAATGTAATTCTTTTCACTAAAAGAAAAGCTTTTGATAAAAAAAAAAAAGGATTTAAAAAATGGTTTTTAAAAATATAGTTTTTAAAATGGTTTCTTTTGTTAGTTTAACTATGATTTATAATCCTTTTTGGTACAACTATATAAAACGTACTTGCAATTGCTATAATTTACTTATAATTAAAATTTATAGTAATTAAATTATAGTAATTTCAACTATTTTTATAATAATACGTATAATTTATCATTTTCAGTATCAATTTTGTAAAACTGCATATATGTAATATTATTAGCAATATTAAACATAACATATAATTATATAGTCACAAATATACAAAATTTCTCTATTATAT